CCTCTCCTATGGTTGGGGAAGGGTCTTCATAGGGATAGAAGAGAATTCACTTGTCTTCAGAATCCAGAACCTAGTTTCTGGGGTAGGTATGCAGGTAGGTGATTTGGCCTGGGATGTCCTTGTTGAAGGGAGGGTCTTATTCTCTAGGACTTTGACAGTCGGGGAGGGACAGGACCCTTCTATACGAGCTATGACCTCAACATGCCAAGGAGACAGGAATGAGAGAGAAGCAAAAGACCCTAACTTAGTTTATTAGGAATGGGAGGAGATGGTAGAGGGTCTAGATATCTGGGGAGGCAGGACTCCACTTGGGGGAGCGGCTTCTATTCCAAGGGTTAAACAAGGGAAGGATTTCCTCCTCCAGTCAGCGGCCAGGACGAACGACCCCATTTCTGAAGGTTACACGAAGCTCTCTTGCTTCCTGGGGCCTGGGGAGTGGGAGACCCTTTCCCTTCGGGGCAGGAGCAGGCGTCCTGGTTGGATGGAGGGCCCAGATTCTAGGGGAAGATCCTGGGCTCTGGCTTCCCGGGTGCAGGGCTTCCCTCGGAAGGATCGGCCACGCGCGCTCGGACGCGTCACTCTTACCTCCAGGCCCCGGCCGCGATCTACAGGCTGCGATCCGCGGGTCGGACTAGCGCGATCACCTTCCGATGCTCCAGGCTGCTCCTGGCGTCTGCTCGGCTCCCCCAGCGACTCGCCAGGCTCCCAAGCTTCGCCAAGCCGTCCCGGCCAATCAGCACCGCCGTTTCCAGCCCTTGCTTGCGCCACAACCAATGAGAGCGCCCGCCACGGGCCACCGCCCCCGGGGGGAGGGAGAAGGCGGGGCGGGGGCACAGTCCGACCTCCGCGGGTAGGATGCGCCCGGGGGTCTCGGAGGAGGGCCGCGAGGGCCGGAGCAAGGGGCTGGGGGAGAGGCAGCCTGAGGGTCCCCAGCCACGTCTGATGGAGATTAGGGGTCGTTTCCTTACGGGCGGGGGCGGCTTTGCAGACTAATTTAACGTGAATCTTCATTGTGCCCACTAAGATCCTGGGGGCTGCTGGTGAACGAAGCTGCCCCGCCCGCTCCTCCCGGTGCTTCGCTTCTGGTCTCTGGAACCTGAGAATCCCGGGCCCTGAAACAAGGCTGAAGCACCTGTCGGCGGTGCCTTCAGCCCTCCACGCCACCTCTGGTTCATCAGTAATGCACAGCAGGCAATGAGAAGAACGCTAAAGTGGGAGTCAGACCCAGGGCATGTCTCTTCCCGCCCCCTTCCTCAGTACCCTTAATGATAAAGGGAGACAGGATTGGTTGTTTCTCTTTTATGAGTATGCGTTCAGAAAACTGAAAATTCAGTCTGAAAACTAGTTAAAACGAAGAAGTAAATGATAGTCCCATACCTTTTCTCTCATTAAAAATAAGATTGTTTTATTTTAATCATTTGTCTATCTGTCTGTCTGTGTATGTCTATGTATGAGGAGGCCATTGGAGGTCCTGGGATTCCCTGGAGCTGGAGTTACAGGTGGTTGTGAGCTGACAGAATTGGGCGCTGGGAATGGAACTCAGGGTTCTGGCAGAAGCAGTATGCGCGCGCTCTTAACTGCCGGGCCATCTCTTTCCCCCTTCTTTTCTTTCTTTCTTGTTTCATTTATTTATTTATTAGACAGGGTCTCTCTACATAGCCCTGTCTGTCCTGGAACCCACTATGTAGACCAGTCTGGCCTCCAACTAACAGAGATCTGTCTTCCTCTGTCTCCTGAGTGCTGAGATTAAAGGCATGTGACACCATACCTAGCTGGCTCCACCTAGCCCTCCTACTCTCCCCCCTCCCCCTGGAATTTGCTAGGTAGATTCTCCTGCCTCTACTTCCAGAGAGTGCTAGGATTAAAGAGGGTGTGTCGCCATGCCTGCCCCCCCCTCTTTCTAAGGGCGAGAGAATTTATTTTCCTTCGGAGTTTGATGGGATGATGTGTGTTTGGAGGACAGTTGCTTGCTCATTTCTTATGGTCCCACAACTTTCTAAAGTTAACTGGACAGAGAATACAGCCAGGCAGTAAATCAAAGACATAAACATTTAACCATCTCTAAGCTTATCTCAGGCAACTGTGTCCTGATCTTGTCGACTCTTGCAAAGCCTAGAGGTCCCTGTTAACTTGAGTCCATGAACCCAAGCAGCTTCATATTAGTCATGGATTATAAACCTAGAAATAAGGGGATGAAGACAGATATGAAGTAAACAATAAATAAAATTTCTCCAAATTAGCAATCTGCTGCAATCCCTAACAGAACCCAAAGGATCTAGAATAATTGAAAGGAGCATATGAAAGAAAGTCCAGATCCTCCGTCCTGTGGGAACCCAGAAGGCGCTGCCTATTGTGCTGGATGTTAATTCTGTCACTTTGCCTGAGGAATTTTCTGGAGGCTGTGTTGTAAATCTATCGAGTTTTCCTTACTAATCTGCTGATAATCCCTTTATTGCTCACGGCTACCCAAAGAAAGCAAATGGTCAACAAGTACTTCCCAAAGAAAGGCAGGTTAAAGCAAAATGATGGAAATGTTTTTCATCCACCAAGATGGCTCTGTCCTCATCACTGACCGCAAGCTTTCAAGGAACTGCACAGTTTCATGGATCACTGATTCAGCCTCATCTCAGCCATTCTTCAGAGAAATTGGATATTTCTATTTTAAAAAATCTTACGGGTGTGGTGACACACACATTTAATCCCAGCACTACAGAAGCAGAGGCAGGTGGAGGCAGGTGGATCTCTGTGAGTTCAAGGCCAGAATGGTTTTCATAGTGAGTTCCAGGACAGTCAGGGCTACATAGTGAGGCCCTATATCAAAAAATAAAAATAAATAAAATCTTACAGTTCATGCCTATAATCTCAGCATTCACAAAACAGAGGCAGAGAATCAGAATCCAAGGCCTTTGTTGGCTAAAAGCAAATTTGAGGCCTTCCTGAGATACCTGAGATGAATAATTCCTATAATCCCAGCACTCAGGAGCCTGAGGCAGGAGGATTGCCATGAGACTGAGGCCAGCTTGGGCTATTTATCAAATTCTAGGTCAGCATGGGCTATCATGTGAGACTCTGAGACTGTCTCAACCATCATCCCCTGCTGCCCACTTAAAAAACAAACAACAAACTCAGAATGAGTAGCTATCACATTGAACAGAAGTACTACTAATAGAGAGGCAGAATGGGTAAATAATACTCATTAGCAGAAATAGATGTCTCTGCATATTGAAATTATGAATTATTCTAATTTTATTTGTTTTTCAAGTTGCTATTTTGCTGTTGTTTGTTAACAATATAGCCCAATTTAACTTCAAATATCTGACAATCCCTTTATTGTTGTTTTGATACAGGGTCTTTCTATATAGCCCTGATGTCCTGGAACTCACACTGTAAACCAGGCTGGCCTTGAACTCAGAGATCTGCCTGCCTCTGCCTCCCCAGTCCTGGGATTAAAGGCATGCGCCACCACACCTGTTTGTGTATTTCTGATTCAACTTCTTCAGTGCTGGGATTATGAGGATGTGCTACCAGGCCTCCCTTTAATAATCCCTAATTATTCTATAATGTCACACACACACACACACACACACACACACACACACACACACACACACACCTTCCTCTACTAAGAAAACAATAGTTGAAATTTAAAAACAGAAACAGAAAAGCAAACTTCTAAGCCTAGATTGTCCAACCAGCTTATGGGCCAAATGCATAGAGATATATCCATTTTAGACAGGGTCTCACTATGTAGTCCAGGTTGGCCTTGATCTCCTGTTCCTCTTGTTTCAGATTGCCTAGTGCTGGAATTAAAGGCCCAGGACTCATCTATTTTTGTATGAAATTGAACTAAACCTATGTTTTATATTTTAAATGACTGGAGAAAAAAAATCTGGAAAAAAAAAAAAAAGGCCCATGAAAACAATACAAAAAGAACTTTTCAGTGAGCACGAGTAAAGTTTTATCCGGACACGGCCACCCAGAGTCATTTCTGCGTGGTCGGTGGCAGTGTCGTGGCAGAGCTGGGCAGCTGCAATGTGCTCTTGGTGGAAAAGTTTGCTTCATCCTGAGCGGAGGCCGTCAGAAGAAAGGGCCCATGGCTCATCTGTTTAGCCTTCTTCATTCAGCTCTGTCTGAACGCACTGTGGGGCCCCACCTCAGGGCTCCCGAGGGAGCCATGCTGCCGCTTTCTCTCCGGCTAAGCGGGAAGGAGTAGGAAAGGGGTGTTTAGGAGCAGGTGCTTTGCAAGCTGATTCTCAAATCGTTTCACTCCGCCACCTGTGAAGAAAACTGTCGCCGCAGGAGGCAGCCCTTGGCACATTGACTTCCACAGTCCTGCAGTTTTCCTGCGGACGGTGGTTGTCTTCAGGGCGGGGGTGGGGTGGGGTGCTGAGAAGGTTTCCCAGGGGACACCCAGGACTCCCCAATTTCAGTGTCTGTCCAGAAGGGCCGCTCTGGCTGGGGGTAGGGTAGGGGGCACCACTGCCCAGATACCGATGAAGACCGTGAAGAGTGTGAAGCTTAAAGAGAGCCTGGGTTCCGATCAGAGCTAGCATGCCCCTCCCCCATTTCCCCATTCCCCCCACTCCACCCCAAGAAGAAGAAAATGAGGCCCAGAAACCCGGAAGAACTTGTCTGGGGTCAAGACATACCTGTTTTCCAGGTCTGTGCTTTGCACAGCAGGTCAGGGGTCAGGGGTCAGGGGAGATGGCTCAGTCAGTAAAGTGTTGGTCTCAGAAACAGAAGGGCCCGAGTTCAACCCCTAAAACCCAGGTTTAAAAAACACAAACAAACAAGGAAAGAACCAGGCACAGCGGGGTGGGGTGCGGGGTGGGTGGGGTGGCGGCGGCACATAAGGTTAACCCCAGCTCTTTAGAGGCAGAGGCCAGTGGATCTCTGTGTATTCAAAGCCAGCCTGGACTACATAGCGAGTTCAGGCCAGCTGAGGCTCCCACAGTGAGACCATGACTCAAAAAACAAAACAAACAACAAAGGTCCAGGCGTGGTAGTGCTAGTGCGTGCTTGTAATTCCAGTGCTGGGAAGGCAGACAACCGGTGGAAGATCTAAAATTGTAAAGTTGTTAAGGAAGACAAAAACATAGGTCCAAATCTTCAAAACTGCAATTTGAATTTGCAACGACTTCTTTTCTTCCTCGTCAGGTACTGTGACTCAAACTAACGGCAATGCATTGTGAGTGCTAGACGGGCACTCTACCCCCGAGCCTTTGACGGTCTCCTGGTTACTTTTCTGTTGCGGCGATAAACTCCATGGCCAATAGCAACCTGGGGAGGAAAGGGTTTATTTCGGCTTACACCATAGGCAGTCCTGAAGGGAAGTCAAGGCTGGAACCTGGAGGCAGGAACTGAAGCAGAGGTCAGGGAAGAGCTCTGCTTAGAGGCTTGTTCCCCGTGGCTTGCTTGTTGAGTCTGCTTTCTTAGACTACTCAAGACCATCTGTCCAGAGCTGGCACCGCCTGCTGTGATCTGGGCCCTCCCACAGCCATCATTAATCAAGAAAATGCCCCATAGACTTGCCTACAGGCCAGTCTGATAGAAGGATTTTTCTCGGTTGAAATTCCTCTTCCCAGCAAACGCAAACTTTTGTCAAGCCCATAAACAAACCAACAACAAAATAAAAACCTTCAATTTAGCTAGATGGTTGGTGGCACACACCTTTAATCCCAAACTCAGGAGGCAGAGGCAGGTGGATCTCTGTGAGTTTGAGGCCAGCCTGGTCTACAGATCAAGATCCAGGACAGCCAGGGCAACAACACAGAGAAACCCTGTCTCAAAAAACAGAAAAACAACCAACCAAACATAAACAACAAGGACAAAACCCTTTCAATGTCTAATTCTGCTGCCTCTGCCACCCGAGTGCTGGAGCGACCGGCATGTGCTACCTCACTGGTTTCATGTGGTGCTGGGGATGGAACACAGCCTCAGCATTCAAAGCAAGCTCGCTCTCTCCATTAACTAAGCTACAGCCATGGTCCAATTAAAAAGATATATGTGTATGATATGTTTAGTTGGATTGATTTGCCTGCATGTACATCTGTGTGCCACGTGTATGCTTGGTAACCATGGAAACCAGAAGACGGTATTGAATTCCCTAGTATTAGAGTTATCGGTGGTTGTGAGCCTTCATGTGGGTGCTGGACTTAGGTCCTCTGGAAGAGCAGCCAGTGCTCTTAACCACTGAGCCATCCCTCCAGCCCTTCTACCCTCACCCCATTTTTTTTTAATGGAGTCTTGGTATATAGCCCAGGTCGGTATGGAACTCAAAATCCTGCCTCTGCCTCCTGAGTACTGGAACTAAAAGTGTGTACCACCACACTGATTTGTGTGTGTGTGTGTGTGTGTGTGTGTGTGTGTGTGTGTGTGTGTTTTCCAGGGGGTGGGGGTGGTGAGTAATGGATAGTGGTGGCTCAGTTTACAACATCGAGGATATGCTTTCAGAGCTCCACTGTATAATTGAAAATGACTAAAATGGTTAATATTGTTGCTCGTTTAGTCACAATAAAATGTATCTAATGTAGTGTGTCACTGCATAAAAGAGACACATGTGCTCCTAGCCCCTAGTGGGCACACACACATTGTAATTTTTTTTTTGAGACAGGGTCTCTCTATGTAGTCCTAGCTGGCCTAGAGGATACTATGTAGCCCAGGCTGGCCTTGATCTTGCTGGGAAGATCCTTTTGCTTCTGCCTCCACTGTGGTGGTTTGAAAAAAAATGGCTCCCCATAGGGAGTGGCACTATTAGGAGGTGTGGCTTTGTTGGAATAGGTGTGGCCTTGTAGGAGGAAGTGTGTCACTGTGGGGAGGGCTTTGAGGTCTCCCATGGTCAATCTATGTTCAGTGTGAAACACAGTTGTTTCTGCTGCCTGCAGATCAAGGTGTAGCATTCTCAGCTCCTTCTCCAGCACCATGGCTGTGCCTGCCTGCACGATGCCATGTCCTGCCATGATGATAACGGACTAAGCCACCCAATGGAATGTTTTCTTTTATAGGAGTTGCTATGGTCATGGTGTCTCTTCACAGCAATAAAAACACTGTCTAAGACAGCTACCCTCTCTGGCTTCCCACGGTGCAGCCTTTGTTTTCATAGTTCTACCAAGTTGCCTCCTTGATTGGGAAGGATGGCTAGAGTCATTAATTCATTCATTGTCTTAGTTACTTTTCTCTTTCCGTGATAAGACATCATGGCCAAGGCAACATAAAGAAGGACATATTTTGGGGTTCACTGTTTAAGGGGGTTAGTTAGAGTTCATGACCATCATGTCAGGGAGCATGGTTGCAGGCAGGCCCTACGCAGGCAGGCAGGCATGGCAATGGAGCAGTGGCTGAGAGCTCACATCCTGAGACAAAACCATGAGGCAATGAGAGCACTAACTAGGAATGATAGGGCTTTTAAAACCTCACAGCTCACCCACACACCTCCTCCAACCAGTCCACACCTCCTATTCCTTTCCAAACAGCTCCACCAACTGGGGACCAAGTATTCAAGCATATGAGTCTATGGGGGCCATTCTCATTCAAACCACTGCATCCACTTATTATAATTATCTTAATTTATTTGCATGTGTGTCTACAGTTATATGTGTGCCCACAGAGGCAAGAAGTGGGTGCTTGATTCCCTGAGGCTGGGATCACAGGCAGTTGTAAACCCCTAAAGGTGGTGCTGGGAACCAAGAGTCCTCCAAGAAGCAGTAAGCACTCTTAATCACTGAGTCATCTCTCTGCACCCCGATTATTATTTTTCATCCACTCATTAGCCCATTCAACAATGAATGCATTTAGCAACTATTCTGTTTTAGGTGCTAACCTGGGGATTTGAGGCGCTGCCCAGGAGCCTCCATCTGGAGTTGGGCTACAGTGTATAAAAAGATAGAATCTAGTACCTAAGGGAGTTTGATTCCAGTGAGTGCTCAGAAGGAGAGCTGGCTATGGTGGTGCACTCTTGCAATCCTGGTATTCAGGAGGCAGGAGGATTGCCTCAAGTTTGAGCTATGTGATAAGTTCTAGGCCAGCCTGGGCTACAGAGTCAAACTCTGTCTTGAGAAAAACTAAGCCCACATTTAAAAAGAAAAGTGCTCAGGAGGAAGAAACAATAAGAGGATTTACTCAGGGTTGGGGCAGCACTTCAGTCATGCTGGTCAGGGGTCATCTGGAACAGTGTGACATTTTGGCTGAGGCCTGAGTATGAAGAGAGAGCCTTTCATGGGTTTTCCTTCCATTCCCATGCATCTTGCCTCTGTGCTGCGGTCCTAGGAGACCCAGGCTGCCTCTTCTTTCCTCATCTGAGAGACCCAGTAAGACCTGACAGTGTTTTATAATTGAGCTGTACCTTGTAGAAACTGTTGGGCCTGTGACATGGCACAGACCTGTCATAGCTTTGCTCTGTTGTCACTGTGGTGACCGGGACTTTTCAGAGCTGCCAGCTTGAGAAAGACACCATGGTGGGAAGAGATTCGGTTGGGAGAGCACTTGCCTAGCTTGCACGAAGCCCTGGGTTTGATTCTCAGCCCTGCATGAACCAGGGGCATGCTTGTAATTCCAACATTCAGGAAGTGAGTGCAGGAGGTTCAAGGTTACCCTCAAGTTTGAGGCCAGCCTGAGCTACATGACACCTTGCTCAATTCTTCTTCCCTCTCCACTCCCATACCCCCCCACCTAGACCTCCTGAAATGAGTGTGGTGGCACACACTGCCTATAGTACCAGAACTTGGGAGGCTGAAGCAGGAGGATTTCCATCAGTCTAAGGTCAGCCTGGGCTGTTGAGAGCTTCTGTCTTGGAAAGAGAGGAGAAATCAGGACAGGGAAGAATAGTGTTGTTCCCCACCCCAGCACAGAACACACTGGAATAATTGCAATTGGACTACACACACCTACTGCTTCCTAGGGGCAGACAAGGCATAGGGCAGTGAGAGGTGAGAGGCACACCTGCTTACTGCCTGCTGAGAGGTCAGTGTGGATGGAATTCCAAGGACATGGAAGATGCTAGACACACTCTAGGCCTTTTGTCTTGTGCCTGGAGAGTCCTCCCCACTGACTACAAATTCTTGCCAATGCAGTCAGTTTTCAAGTTGCCACAGTTGAGTTCAGAGTTTTTCACTCTATGATAGGGTCAAAGCAATGTGCAATCAACTGTCTCTTGGTTTTTGAATTTTAATATATTTCCCAGGTTAGCATGGTGTAATGGTATCATGATGCTGGGCAGCAGCAAGCTGCAGCTCCCAGACAAAAACTGATGGCCAATAGTGTGGCATTCCTGGCACTCAGTCTTTAACTTTAGTTCAGTGCCTGTGATGGCTGTCTTTGGTTGTCAACTTGACTATATCTGGAATGAACTACAATCCAGAAATGGAGGGCACACTGTGGTCCAGATCTTTTTCTTTTTCTATCATCAGCTTGATACAGTACAAATTCTTATCCTAATGGTGAAATGTTTCACTGATGCTTGTCCAGTGATTGAGTAAAACCAAAACTTATTATAAGCCACAGTCATCCTAGGGTCCTCTCTGCTAGGTAGCCTCCCTGGATCTGTGGGTTGCAGTCTGATTGTTCTTTGCTTTATATCTAGTATCCATTTATAAGTGAGTACATACCATGTTTGTCCTTCTGGGTTTGGGTTACCTCATTCAGGATGATATTTTCTAGTTCCATGTGATCCAGATCTTGAGGCAAGAAGATAACATGCTTTTGATCTGCATCTTGAGGCTGGAAGGCACACGCCTTTAACCTGGGTCACACCTTCTACTAGAAGCCTATATAAGGACAATGGAAGAAGGAAGGATTTGTTGCCCTTGCCCATCAGCACATCCATTTCTTCTCTGGGATCCCAGAAGACCAGCTGAGACACCCAGCTCCTGGGACTGAGCAGCTACTAGAGTCTGGGACTTTCCATTCATAACTAGCCATTGTTGGACTGCAGCCTATAAGTCATTCCAATAAATTTATATATGTATGAGAGTGTGGAGACCCAAAGAGGTTTCCTAGTGAGAACTTACCCAGGGTCTGAGAATCTGAGCTTGCTTTACCCAGCAGGGCTGCATAAGGGAATGATTTGACCACTGGTGTGGTTACCAGGTTTTTGGAAGGGTCTACACTTGGCTGTGTGGTGTGCTTTGATCTAGCAAGGGGGAGGTCTTTTGCTCCACCCCTTGGTATTGTTATAAAAAGCCCCTTTGAATGAACGGAAAAGGCTGTTGGATATTGACCCAGGTCCTCCCAAAGCTATCTTGTGTTTCTGTCTTTCTCCTCTTCACTATCTTTCTATCTAATATTTACTTATCCCTCTCTCCTCCTCATAAGAACCCCTAAGAAGGTGGGAGCTGGCCTCCCACACATGAGAAAGATTCATTCCATAAATTCTGTGACTCTAGAGAGCCCTGACTAATACAGTGCCTTTGAGATTCTTCAGGCCGGGTTCATTCTCATCTGTGTATGCTGATAGCAAACACAACACAGGTATGTTCCTCACATGCAATTCAAGATTCAACAGATGATATGAGATAGTCTGCCCTTGACTGTGAAGCAGGCTTTGGGTTAGCTGACTAGCCCAACTGTGATGTGGTATAAGTCTTCTGAGCATGTTTAAGGCAGGTCAGGCTTAGCTCTCATATTGGGTACGATTGAGGTGCATTATTTTGGATTCATTGGCATTTTCAATTTAAGGTGGATTTATCACAAGGTAACCTAAGTAATAAGTCAGTGGAGGAAAAGAAAAGACTCAGTTCACCCTCAAAATATTGAGCGTAAACATTCATTGATGTGAGAGGTTGGTGTCCCCAAACTCCATGGCTCAGTATATGGGGCTCCAGGAGAATCCACCACATAGGGTCTGAGAATAGGTTTTTGTAGTTGAGAGTAGAGAATGCAGAAGGCCTAGCTTTGGCAGGCCTAAGAACTGATTTTTTTGCGGGGGAGGTGAAGTCTTTTCCAAACTCAGGCTGGGAGGCAGGTCGAACTGACTGCTTTTGCAGCCTCCATGCTCCAGAATTCATGGTGGGGTTGACTGCTTCCCAGAATTCCATGAACAGCAGATTTCTTGAAACTTTGGGTCTGTTTCATGGTCGGGAGGTGTGTGTGTGTGTGTGTGTGTGTGTGTGTGTGTGTTGGGGAGCTGTGGATTTGTCCTTTAAACCCCATTGTAAGTCTAGTACCATCTTTACATCCCCAGGGAGTCTCAGGGTCAGATGGGATGTGATTTCCGTTCCCATCTTCACTGCCGGAGGGCTGAGCATGAAGCTAAGTGGTGGTGCATTTGTCTGGACACGCGAAGGCCCTTCCTTCAACCACGAGCACTGAAAAACCAAGACTCAAAAGAAATACGCCATCTTCACTGTTGGAGAGAACAGCCAAAGCTGGCATCCCCGGTGAGCTCCTGGAGGGCCTGGGTTCTGATGCTGTTTGTCACATAGGGAACCATCTATTTATGTTTACTAATCTGTCTCATCACTCCCCTGCCTGGGAGATTCTGCCCTGAGGAGCTGTCCAGAATCTCCTTGCTGAAATTTCACAGTAGCTGAAACCCAAGCCATGTTGGAGCTTTTATTGCGCAGGATCAGAAAATCCAAATATTTTTTCTCCCCATCCCCATCTCTCCTCTCTTACAGGCAAGGAAAGACAAAACACAAATAACCCCATCCCCACCACAGGAAACAGTGTGACACCAAGTATATGCTCTCAAACTGTAGTTATATAAATCTGGGCTCATAATTCTAGCTGTAACTGTAAAGACTTGTATGAGGGCTGGAGAGATGGCTCAGTGGTCAAGCAAATGCACCACCCTTGCAGAGGGTTGAGTTCAGTTCCCAACACCTACATCTAGCAGCTCACAAATCCCTCTAACTCCAGCCTCAGAAGATCCAGTGCCCTCTTCTGGTCCTTGTAGTTACCCACACCCATAAGCACATATCCATACATATACAAGTATATGTAATTAAAAATAAATCTTTTTTAAAAGGTTTGTATGAGTTTACATTGATCACCTAAAATCCCTGAGCCTTAGTTTTCATCTACAAAGTGGGGTTGATGTTGTAATGTAAACATGTGCAGCATTGTGGGTGTTATGTGGGAGAAACGTCTTAGAATTTGTCATGTGGAATGGAGTGGCTGACAGGCAGGCAGCTCTTAACAAGGTTAGCCAATATTGTATTGCTATAATCATCAGAGTTATAATTTGTGTTTCTCAAGAATCAGATGACCTTGAGACAAGCACTCTTGAGTGCTTTACTTGTGGGGAGACACCGTGACTAGATGCTGACATTCAGATTCTCTAGCTGATGACTGTGGCGGGAACTGGAAGTCCATTCCCTTGGGAATGCTGGGCCCAGTGCAGAACATTCACTCCAGTCAGCCCCTCAAGGAGCAAGGGAGCGGGAGGACTTCAGCTACAGGCCATTGCTCAAGCAATAGCTGGCCAACCGGGCCTCAGCACTTCTGCCTCATCCTTCAGACTGAGCAGAAGTGGCCAAAAAGCCCCCAGGCTGAGTCTCAGAGTGACAGGATAGGCAGCCATGCCAAGACATAAGGAGTGCTGACAGGCAGTACTTTCTTTAATTCTTTCTCTCTCTCTCTCTCTCCTCTCTCTCTCTCTCTCTCTCTCTCTCCCCTCTCTCTCTCTCTCTCTCTCTCTCTCTCTCTCTCTCTCTCTCTGTGTGTGTGTGCATTTGTAGTTATTTTTCTGTCGCTGCAATAAAATGCCATGACCAGGGCAACTTATAAAAGAAAGTTTATTTGAACTTAGGGTTTCAAGGGGATAGAAATCCATCATGCCGAGGAGCATGGTGGCAAGTGGCAGCCATGGCAGCTGGAGCAGGAAGCAGTGAGTGTACGGCCTCAACCACCAGCATGAAGCTGAGGACAAACTGGAAGTCAGCAGGGCTTTTGTTCTTAAAGCCTTAGTGACGGAATTCCTGCATCAAATCACACCCCCGAAACTCCCCCAAACAGTGCCACAGCTGGGGACCAAGTGTTCACATATCTGGGCCTTTGGGGGACAGTCTCTTCCAAACCATTGCAGTAAGGATAGGTGTATGGTGTAAGTACATGTTCCTGTGAGTGTGTGCATGTATGTGAGGATGTACACGTATGTGATTGCATGTATAGCTCAGAGACTGATGTCAAATGTCTTCCTTAATCACTGTTCACCTTAGTTTTAGAAACTTCCTTAATCACTGCTCACCTTAGTTTTAGAAACAGTTTTTCTCTCTGCTTCTGCCTGCAGCTTAGGATGTAAGCTCTTAGCTACTTCTCCAGCACCAGGTCTGCCTTCCTGCCCCATCATGATGGTCATGGACTAATCCTCTGAAACTGTAAACAAGCTTTCATTTATAAACAGCCTTGGTCATGGTATCTCTTCACAGCAGTAGAAAAACAACTGAGCCATGGTCCTTTTCACTGAATCTGGAGGGGATTGCTCTGGCCATCCTAGCTGGTCATCAAGCCCATGGGATCTGTCTCCATTCCCTAAGCACTGGGGTCATAAGCTCATATACCATCATGCTGGGATTTTGTACAGGTGTTGCGGATTTGAACTCACGTCATCAGGCTTGGCAGCAAGCACCTTTACCCACTGAACCGTCTTGCCAGTCCCAGGGTGAGTTTTGAGCAACACAATGCTGTCTTGGGGACACTTTGGATATCACTGCTGTGGTGGTATGAAATAAAATGGCCGCTATAGTCCCACAGGGAGCAGCACTATAAACAGGTATGGCCTTGCTGAAGTGGGTGTGGCCTTGCTGAAGTGGGTGTGGCCTTGCTGAAGTGGGTGTGGCCTTGTTGGAGGAAGTGTGTCACTGTGGGGGTGGGCTTTGAGGTCTCCTATGCTCAAGTTATGCCCAGTATGGCGTAGTCTTCTGCTGCTGCCTGCGAATCAAGATGTGAAACTCTCAACTCCTTCTCTAGCACCATGTCTGCCTGCATGCCACCATGTCCTGCCATGATGGTAATGGAATGAACCTCTGAAACTATAATTGAGCCATCCCAATGAAGTGTTTTCCTTCATAGGAGTTGCCGTGGTCACGGTGTCTTTTCACAGCAATAGAAACCCTGACTAAGACAACTACTATGATGGTGGGGGAAGGGAGGCGCTCTGCTTCCTGTAGGTGAAGGTGCTAAACATGGGTCAGTGCCCAGAAATTCTCCACAGCCGCTCAGCATGACCCAGGGAAACCTGCTCCACCACACTCCTCCAGTTTGACAAGAAAACCCCAGAGGTCCAACTCACCAGTCCATGATTAGCAGACTCCCCTTTGCCAAGCTTTAACCTCTTGGAGCCTCAGTTTTTTTCTCAGCTGCAGGATCAGGGTAAGAATCATAGCACTTACCCTATAGGGCTGTGTCAAGGTTCTAAAACTTTTGAACACAGCATCTTACCAAGGGGTGGAACACTTGGGGCTGGTGAACACTCCCAGGAGCAAGGAGCAGGAGGAGCCCCATCTTGCCGTTATTCTGAACTCCTCCCTGTGTGGTTGCCCTCCCTCTCCCTGGAACATCCAGGTGTGTGTTGCCATAGAAACCTTTCAGTGCTAATGCTCTTAAGAACTTGGCTGATTTTTTTTTTCTTCCTAAAATAACCCACCACATCAATCAAGTAACGCTTAGGCAAAGCAGTTAGATAAGTGAGATTGTTTTACCATCATTAACTTTTGAGTGTGGCAC